CTTATGACGCTCTGTGTAGTGTTAAGAGTGAAAGCCACAGCACGTTGCCTGGAACCAGCTTCCAACATTCCGACGGCTCGCATCATCACTTCTCGGGTTAAATGATGTCGTCTCTCCATAATAATGTAAATTGTTTCGGTTCCTATGCAGATATTGTAATGATTTTGTCAAAACGCTATAACTCATTTTTATACAAAACCACATTGACAATCGATTTTCTTCTTATTGTCGAATTTTAAACAATATTCCTTATTTAAATGTTAAAACTCACTAAAAAGTATCAATAGCGATACAAAAAAGTTAATATAATTAACCCTAATTACAGCAATACTCTTAAACGTACTTGATCCCTAGACACTTTTGATGTGTGTATATACATTGCCTCTGTAAATTTGAGACTTTTGAAGACGACTGTCAAGAACAGCTATTTTTTTTATTCCTCGTATTAATGTTATGTCTGTCACTATTTTTCATAAAAAAAATAAATAATATTTTTCTTAACGTAAATAACATTTTCATAAATGTACGTTTATCTGTTTTACAATACTCAAAAAAAATACAAAATCTGCCATAATTACTTCTATGTACTCACAATTTGTCCTAAATAACCTCCCCTGGCGTTAATTAGGATCTATATGACACGGACGTCTAGCTATAGGTATGTCCGTGCGGTTTACCTATACACATATGGGGTGTATGGAGTGACACAGGAAGTGGACGCGCGCCGCCGCAGACTGCAACCTAGACCAACCTATACTACCTATATCTAGTACCTCACGTCTAGATTGAAGGGAGAACATCATATACATTTAAACATAGAGATTTCAGTGTAATCACATCTGCCGTACATATATACTTTCTAATGTACGCGGTGCAATAGTTGCCAGCAGAACGACTGCACAATGTTGGAACTTGTATGATTTTTTACATTGTACCTACTGTATTGGATTCGTCTCGCTATTGTAAACTTCAAAAATTTACTATTTTATGGAATAATTAGTTGTTAGCTTGATTTCAGTAGAATCGATGGCAATACGAAATAATGGAAGTCCTTGAACGCCGACCGGCATCGAGTACATAACCAGAAGTAAAGACGAAATGTCATTTAATTTGTTTGAAAATTATTCTGCCAAATCATTACGACTGCTGATCGCATATTAATAAGAAGTGTAGCAATGCAATCGTGCTTTTGTATCGATGATTAAAGTCGCGCGCGTGTGTAAAGGTAGGCGATTAGCTTTGAGTAAGTTAGCAATCCATCTATTATAAAATTAATAACGAAGGAATCTAAAAACTTGATACTAATAACAATGTCAATTATTACGATATAGGTCTTTCTAGTAAGCTCATTGTTGTTATCTATAGGTAAGGCTAGATACTTATTTGGTAATTAAAAACTACCCTTTTAATCGTCTGCGCATTTTATGTTACGGTCGCGGAAACCTTTAGGAAAAAGGGTAATAATAGCCTGGGTTCGATCCGGACCGAGGACAGTGGACAAGGCATTGAAAGGAAGACTCCGTCGGTCGATACCACCTACTCAATGCAATTGCACCTACGCAATTTTACTATTATTAGCAAATGTGAATATTTTAAAAATATAGCAGCTTCTGTAGGGACCAAGGAATGCAATACAGCTACTAGAAATTGTAGGTTTGGAAGGAATAAAGATCTTGTTTTGTTGAAATTATTTAGCTATTCCGGCTTTAATACAACGCTTTCAAGATTTATACATAATATCATTATATCAAAATGAGGTAAGGATCTTTAATTCGCTGTCCTTTTCGTAACTTCTCGTCCCACGCACTGTCAATCGCCGGAATAACAACAAGGCTAGCCACTGGCTCCACTCAATAGATCCTTGTCATTTGCTATCGAGAAAAATTTTTACGAAAAGGCCTACTCATTATAACTTAAGAAAACAAGGCCAAAACGCAATTGAATGAACAAGATGCGACTTTTATGATGTCCTAATAGAATCCATTCATTAAAAGGAAGTTGTTCGCTTTGACCTATCATAAACTTATTAATTAGGCTAATTAGGCAGTTGCGTATCACAAAAACACCTCATAAAGTGTGAAAATGGGCAAGCGAGTGTTAAAAAAAGGAAAGAACGAAACAAAAACGGTATCATTAACCTTAGAGGCGACAAGGAAAACAAAGAGCATTCGAGGGTAGACTATGCGCTGCGCAGAGAGGGCGCTAGTGAGTGCAGTGCGATGATAATGTTTGCGGGATGTTTACCTGCCAGCCCTGCAGCAGCAGCGAGCGGTCGACGGTTCGTAGCCACATAACGGCGTCGCCCGCTTGGAAGTCGCGCAGGCGGTGGCAACGCGCATGCAGAAACATGCCGAGGCACTTGAGCAGCTCCGATGTCGACGCCTGGATGACGGTTTTCCGCGGTTGCACCACCGGCCCTACCGCCGTTGTGGGCAATTTCTCCGCGTAGCAAACGTTGTTGTTGAGTACGTTGGCCCGCACCACCTCGGCGGGTGGCGGCAGCGGCGTAGGCACCACCGTAGGCCGCGCATATATCACGCCCTGCACGCTGACATTCTTGTTCCTGTCGAGCGGTGCATTGTCCGTCAACGGCGCGCGGAAAGTAGCCACGCTCTTGCTCTTGCATTCTAGCTTCTTTTTGTTGTTGTTGGCCGTAGAGAATCTCTTCCACGAGAGCGCGTTTATAAACAGCGAATGCTTCTTTAGGTTCTTTTCGAGGGCTGTCTTCTCTGATATAATCTTGGCGGCATCGTCGAGAGTGGCGCGACGCTCGTGCGGCGGGATATCACGGTTCTCGCGGTTTTTGGCGTTGTTGAGCCGCTCGTAGGAGTAGGCAAGCGCCGCGGCAGCGCGATCGGGCGGCGGTGCGGCCTGGGGCAGGCGCCGCTCGCGCGGGCTGAAGCTCAGCACGGTGCCCATGAGGCCCGCGCGCGTGCAGCCGCTAGGTGCCCGCATGCATCACGTGCGGCCGACGGCGGCGGCGGCACTACCCCGTGTGGGCTCGATAGGGCCGCGCCGGCGCGCCGCCAACGCTGGTATCGACCGGCGCGCGCACCCAGCTGACTCCCCGCCGCCGTTGTGCCGCGAACGGCCAGCCGACCCCGCCCGCCCCTGTAAACAAACCCCTGTCTCCTCAGTGCGAAATCGCAACTTACCGAAGGTTTATTAATCTCAATTAAGTCACGTGCCGGTCACCGCTGATCGACCCACCAGCAGCTCTCGGCCTCAGCCCTCTGGGGACCAATTTATAGCTCTCTGAACGATTTCTCGATTTAAAATTTTCAGTTACATAATAATGCGACATCGAATGCGTCCACATAATACACCTCCGAGATGAAAACGAGTTTGGTAATCATACACAACGCCCAGGAGGCTTACAGCGTCGAATGTAAGCTGATTTCCTGACCTGAATAAAATTTTCATTAAAACACGGCAGGAATAAAAAGCTTCCTCGCTCGGCTAAAAGTTTCTTGACTTGCCTATAAATTCCATCAGTATGGAAATGAATGAAACAAGTACTGACTGGTAATTGGTAGACTTGTGCTATTCATAATTCAATTTAATTTCAATAAAATCCGTTGTGATGAATAATGATTTCAATAAAACAAATTTTCAGAATCTTTCATATTCCTCGTAAAAACGAGTAAAGTTCGCAAGTACTGTTATTTTCTCTTACTAAAGGTTGAATTTCATTTTTCCGAATTTCAATGGCACTTTTTCAGTGATTTTGTAAAACCCTTTGTTCTTTCGATTTTAAAGTCTAAAACGTACAAATAAGTTCAAGCAATGTCAATAATTATAAAATCACAGAAATATTTAAGTTAAATACAACAGAAAACGATATTTTAGGTCACACGAATGAGATTTGCAGTAACACGAATGATTTTCTCATAAACATAAATGAGAAAGACGGCACAGTAATGAGAAATTATTATTACAACACACATTTTATCGTTCACAAAAAACGTTTAACATGTAACAAATATTTTAATATAACTTCTTGTATCAAAATCCTTCTCATCCATGTAAGACCATCTATCTATCTATACGTAATTAATAAATAAATCTAAAAAAGTATTTTGTTAATGTCATATAAACTTTTTTGTACATCAATATATCATCATCACCACCATCAACATCATCACCACCGTCATCACCACCACTATCACCACCTAATTGTTATATTTCAAGTAAATGTTTAGCTTAAAGTAACTATTAGACTTCAAAGTAGACAACAATGAGAGCGACAATAATGATATTTGGATAAATTTTAATTGTCAAGTGTGTAAAATAAGCTGAACCGTTATAAAAGTGCTTGGATTTTAAAGTTCCCTTTGTCTAATTGCTGTACAATAAAGTTTTTAAAACTATTACTTAATACTAATTTAGATAGATTGCTTTACATGAATGAGAACGATTTAGTCAATAGCGCTGAAAGTGGTATTTAAATCGATTTTTTGCTAAAACAGAGATGCACAGGTTACTTCACTGTGTACACTCTAATCCGAAAGGAGCCCCTTCTCACGTGTGCGAAGGGTGAAGGTGATGCGGTATGAACTTTGGTTATTGGGAGGCTTTTAGTTGAATTGACATTAATGATAAGAAAATTTGAAACACATTTTGTATTCCCAAGAAAACGTGTTTGTTTATAATAAATGGGAAAGTTATGGTATGTATTCGACGTGTAAGTTATTAAAGTTTATCCACGACGGGAAATATTGCTATTTCCTCGAGTGTTTAATTTTTTTTTTCTTCTTTTCTTAATATTAGGGCGACGTGGAACCGGCTCCCATGAATGAGAATTTGCTTTTGAAATTTTTAAATTTTAAATTTTTTAAATTTTTTAAATTTTGTTTATTACTGTGATGTAGTAAAGTAGACTTTTTATGTGTAACACAGACTAAGTAAGCAAGCAATCGTATTAAATAAATAATGCTTAGCATTCATGTAATAACATAAAAGTTATTGAAAGGGACACATATTTGGAGGTTATCTGAAAACGACCCTAAAAAGAAATCGCACACTGCGTGTAATAAAGCTACATCTGCAAAATGACAACTTTTCAGGAGAGAGATTTATATAATATCATCAATCTACCTCTGGTTTTTGTTTATGCAAGTGAAACAAGATTTGTTTATGTATCTAAAAACCCAAGTAAGTTGTCATTCAAAAGTAGTAGTACTGTATTATTAAATCATCTGCAGAATCATCGCGATGACGTTACACTAACAAAAGGAATCTTTTTAGTAGGAAAGCCGTTTATGGATGTTTCAGGTTAATTAAAAAATTCTGTAGATCCATCTTTAGTAGCAGCTATGGGAAAAGGGGGAAATGGGAGTTCTTAAGCAATTATTGCAATAACAATCGAAGTACAAATAAAAAATTTATTGCAACCGCCTTATAATAAAATTAACATATATATATATATATATATATAATAAACTGATAATTAAGATACATCTCAATAACTTTGAATTTATAATTTGGGAATCATAATACTTAAAAAAAGAATACATTTTGACCGCCTTTGCCCCTGCGTATTGGCAATTGCGGTCATCTTTTTGCAATTAGGGTCAGGTAAATTAAATAAATACCACAAAGAAAGCCCTTGCCGAAGTCACAGATTGCGCACTCCTCGTCAGTCCAAAGCACACATAAAGTGCACTACCACCACATTTTAGTATATAGTACCACATTTCATTGTCTTGTCCGAATTCGTTGCACATTATGCATCTAATTCCTTCTGAGTCATCATTTTTATCATTTAATTAATGACGAAAACGAGTAAAAATTACAACTAGGTCATCGGTAAAAGCATCTTATAGCAGTACAACTCCTTGTCTTACCTATTTCTGCCGCCAAGCAGTAATGTCTGCATTACTGTGTTTCGGTATTGAAGGGTAAGGGTGCTGATGAAATTACAGGCACGTGGGACTTGTCAAATTATGTCTTAGGTTGACGAGCGCTGTGGCAGTGCCCCTCAGATCTTTGCGATTTAAAGCTCTGAGTGGCACTGCAACTGTTATGGACAGGCGTGTAGCTTACCATCAGGTACACGACTTGTTCGTCCCGTTATATATTATAAAAAAAATCTTCCTGAATGTTAGATTGAGTTTTACTACAATTGCTTTGGTGCAATAAGGTCATGTTTGCAAAATTAAAACTTTTCATGAGAGAGTTTTAAAGATTGTACAAACGAAAGTAGTCAATATTTTTTTAATGCCTAAATAGGTGTTATAAAATTTCACATAAATTATGCATGTATATTTCATATAATTCATACTAATTTTATGACTTTCATATGAAAAAAGCACTATTCACGTATAATCACATGTGGTCTTATTATATTACCATACCATTATCAGGCTTCTAGACCAGTGGCGTAGTTGGGGATAAAAAGCGGGCCATGGCCCCTGGCGGCATAGCAATGGGGTCGACGGCGACGAGCGCGGCCGATCCCTAACTATTCCAATTATTATTTTATTACTTAAAATTAGAAAATTAATTCTACTAATTGACAAAACGATATCCTGAAAAACACAAAGTTGACGACGGCAGGCGAACATAAAAACCGAATCAAGCCGACCTGCCCGAACGAACCACTTTTGTGATCGTGAAAATAGAGGGGGCAGCAAATTTAAGGTTTTTGACCGCCTCTGTGGCTTGCGGTTGTGTGTAGCTTGCACACTGGTTTTCATGGTGTCGCCATCTCTGAGATCCCGGGTTCGATCCCCGGCCGGGTCAGTGTAAAAAACTAACTTTTCTATATTGTCTCGGGTCTGGGTGTTTGTGGTACCGTCGTTGTTTCAGATTTCCATAACCCAAGTGCTTTAGCTATTTCATTTGGGATCAGAGCAACGTATGTAATGTTATCGAATGTTAGTACTAATATTATATCCTATATTATATTATTAAGGTTGACCCTGGGCGGCAGAAATCGACGCTACGCCACTGTTCTAGACTAGAAAGTCGGTAGGTAGATAAACAAACAAAGATAAACACTAACTTGCCACCCGCTCTAGGAGTGGCGCCGCAGCTGCCGCGAGGAGAAGCGAGGGCGGAGGCTGCCCCGTAAGGCTTCTAAGCGCATTAGCACGACCATGGGCACAGTGTGTCACGTGACCGTGATTGGTTTGTGATTGACAACTTGACTCTTGAAATTTCTGTTCCAGCAAATTTGACGTTTTTTTGTTTGACGTGCCACTCAGAGCTTTAAATCACAATTCACCAGCACTCTTACCCTTCAAAACCGGAATACAGTAATGCTGACATTACTGCTTAGCGGCTGGAATAGGTAAGGCGGCAGTACTTCCCTGGACAAACTCTTTCACGAGGAGCTTTACTGCTATTCTACTCTTTAAAATATCCTAAATGAAAAGTTAACCCAACGACAAATATATAAAAGTAAAATACATAAAAGATACATAGAAATTTCTTATACAAAAATAATATATATATAAATAAGTAGGTACACCATATGTATGCAAACTAGCAGACATATCTCTCAGATGGCACTTGAGAGCACTGTAAATAATAAAGATTTTATTGCACTAGGCTGACGTCTTTTATAGCCACTCCTGCAATATTGCATACTTGCTTTACTCTACTCAAACGTAGAACAAATAAGCACGTTGTAAATTTCCACGTGACCTACCTGTCAGACGTAGCACTGTAAACCTTTTAGGAACAAGATTAAAATTAAAGTGAAACACAAAGCCGCATTTTAATTCTTCTATATACTACTAAATGTATATGTAAGCCACCCATCAAAGCGTACTCAGCGTCCCAGTGACCATTTCGTACCACTGCATGGTATAAAAAAGCCACATATGACCATGGGATGCACGAAAGAAACCTCTCCGCACCACGTACCATCCTTTCTTGTACGTCTGGCGCACCAATCGGCAGTCGCTACAAAACTCTATCATATAATTATATTTCGGAATTAAGGCCGTAAAGGGAGACGTCGAAGAAAACACCCTCAACGCAGATTTAGTCAATAATTAC